ATATATATATATATATATATATATATATATATATATATATATATATATATATATTCTATATTAAAAATTTAGATATTCGTATTTAAAGATCAAAACAATAAGAATGTCCAGAAATTCCCGAAAATATCCGGGAATTGGTATTTTTAATTTACTATCCAAGTCTATGTGAAGTCTCCGAAAGATCGAAGCATCCGAAAGCTAATTCAGGAAACGATCGTGTACAATGAGTTGCAAAACCGTTACAAAACAGTTTAAACACAATGAACTCGTCAGACTGTCAGAATTGAGAGTCATTATTGTGTGTGTGTGTGTGTGTGTGTGTGTGATGAACCTGTCCAGTAATTATATTATTATAATAATAATTATTAATTATTGTTAGTATTATTATTATATTTAGTATTCTTAATTATATTATCATTATTATTAATATTACATATCAAAGTAATGACTTTCAATTTCGACAGTTTGTTGAGCTCCAAACCTCATTATGTTTAATGCGTTCAATGCGTTTTGCAACCTACTGTACACATGGGGGAGAGGGGGCAAACAGATCGTAAATTCTCGTGTGCGCTCTGTATGCAGTACGCTACCCCCGTCCCCCTCCCTCACTTCTTCCCTTCTCCGGAGAAATGTTCGCCCCTAATTAATGTGACTCGCGCAAGCATGTCCATCATCCATTCGAGATCCAATGCTAATGGGATCTCGCACGCGCCTTCGTTATACCACAGGGATATATATGTGTGTATGTGTGTGTGTGTGTATATGTCATGCGCACACATTCGTAGCTGTTTGAATGCGACGAATCATAATCACTCGATATGATCGAATTCACGACCGGCGAGGACAATAACGACGACCACGATGATGATGAGCGCGCGGAGGGACGGGGCGAATCGCGAGAAAAAAGCGCGTCCGATCGCGCCGCGACGATCGGTAGCACGAATGGCATCTACGCGACACATTAGCATCGATATTTATGTGTACACCTGCATCGGTAGCCCGACGGAGAGCGGCTTTCGACCGGATCCTACTTCCCAGTTAGGCAGCGCGTTGTCGTCTAAGTTTGGTCATCGTCGGCCGTACCGACTCCTTACGGACTCCCTACACGGATAACCCCGTCATCGCTCGCACGCCTTTCGCATTTTAAACGTCCTCTCTCTCCCCCTCCCTCCTATCCCTCCTTCGTCACCTCCTTCTACTCCTCCCTCCCTTTTCTCACGCTCTGCTCCCTCTTCCTCAGTTTCCTCCTCGTCTCGCCGCCTCCTCCGCACTGTGTTCATCTCTCTCTCTTCCTCTCGCATCTATTCACCGCCGGTGTGTGTGTTCACCTGTCTCTATTCGCTTACCTGAGCTACGCGAACTGTCGGCCCGAACAGCTGTTTGTTATCAGCGCGCGATCAAGCGTGACACGAATGGTATCGATGATAATTGAACGCGGCGGGGAGGATGATGCAGATCAGAGCAACTGCTGAGGTTTAATTTCACAATTTCCGATCTTTTTCTTCTTTTTATTAATGTCGATCAATCTCGGTACAATACTGTGTGTATATATATACACACATATATATATATATATATATATATAGAGAGAGAGAGAGAGAGAGAGAGAGAGATATGTCTTCAAATCCTCCAAACAATAAGCTCGATCGTTGATTCTCACGTCGGTAGGATTTGCATTTAAATGCGTGCACTCGATCGTTTCATTTGTCCAATTAAGGAACGAGTGGGAACTGAATCGTTTCACGACTGTAGAACGAACCGCAACATTACGGACCAATGTTTTACCTTCGTCAACGTGATCATCGGACTTAATTTCAATTTGAACTTTGCACTCAACTAGAGCAAATCTGACTACCTGTCTAGGAGACATATACATTCGTGATTATTTAATTTCGTAATAATCTTGGCCCTTCATTGAGACAAAAGAACAAATTTTGTCGGCTATTCTAATGCAAGCATAAATAAAAAAAAAAAAATAGAAAAAAATGTTCGCATCTTGCAATAGTTGCGCGTGAGACTCACCCGAGTGGCTCTTGGCGAGATCCTTAGAGTCGCCGTCGCTGGTGTCACCGTCGCTTTCATTGGCACAAACGTCGGATCTGGGTGACGCGCCGTCCTCCTGAAACGAAGAAGCGGTAGCTCGGATTATCGAAAATTGCGACGAGTGCGCGTGGTTATTGGGGGGACGACGAGCACAGAGACAACCCGGGGACGGTGAACGCGCGCGTCCACTTTTTCTCGCGTAGCGAGGGATCGGTCCCGGATGACGGTCCGAACAACGAGCAAACGTAATGAGAGATGAAAGCGTACCTGCCGAACATATGTACGTATGTGCGCATACCTATCTATCTACCTAGCTACCTATCAGCCTACCTATCTATCTATCCATCTACCATCCAACTAACTAACCAACCTACCTACCTGCCTGCCTACCTAGTAGAGAGAGCGAGAGCAAGAGAGAGAGAGAGAGAGAGAGAGAGAGAGAGAGAGAGATGCGCGAGCTTGTTCGCGCTCCTTATATGGCCATCTCGCAGACTCCTCTCGCGGTATACTCGCAGAGGAGATTCTCGCGAATTTACTCGCACGGTCCTCGGTGTTCTTTCGCCTCTGGAAGGACTTTCTCCCCTTAGCGCTTCTTCCCTAGTCGAGTGCGGCTACTATTTGCGTAGGGTTCGCGGCGGGACTCGTTTGCGCGACAGCATTAAGCGCGTTTGCTCGTTAATCGCGGAGCGATCACACGTATATCTGTCGACTGGCGCAGTTTTGACGCGAGCTTGACACACTGTGTACATCCTAAAGAAAAAAAACACCGTGTACATACGACTGTACTGTAGTGAAAAGCGTGACATGTTCGAAATTACCGAATAGCACCTCGACAAACTCCTCCGACCTTGCAAATGAGAGAATGCTGCGTGTTCGCCGCCGCTCGCCGGGCTTATGCTAATTACCGTTTGAAACGCGGCGGAGACGCGCGTCCGGGCCGTCGAATCACCCACGAGGGAGCGAGAGGAGCGCGTCGCGGTCGAGGGCGGCCGCGGATACCAATTGGAAAGCTCGAAAACCCCGCGATGTGGTTCCGTTCGTGACGACGTTGGTTCGCCCGCGGCCGGCGCACGTCGTCGCTTCCGACTACTCTCGCCCGCCTTTCCTACCCCGCCATTTACCGTCCACCGTTCGCGAGCGTGTGCGGTAGAGGAGGCGCGACAAAAAGCAACATTCCTGACTCTTAAGTCGGACTCTATATAAGTGTCTGCCATCGTGAACATTGCCTGTATATGGCGACAACCGGGCTTTGACAAAGGTGACCGTATATGGAACTCCGCTTCCACCTTCCGTGCTCGCGTACGTACGTGCGTGCGTGCGTGCGTGCGTATACGCGGCCTCTCTCTCCTCTTCATGGGACATCTCGGGCCTGTTCGCGCTCTTTCTCTCTTGCTCTCACCCTTTCTCTCTCTCTCTCTCGTCCTCTCCTCGTGCGATACACCTGGATGCGCGCCTTCTTCGTCCGCAACCCCGATGAACGAACGGTGATTCGCTCCGAGCGACGCTGTCCATGTCCTTGCGCCGTTCAATCATAAATCGTACTTCGACCTCGCGCGGCATCCCCCAGACTCCCGTGGCACCGAAGCTCCGCGCTTCCGGTACCGAGGCGCGATTACGCGCCCCCATTAGAAGCGCCATCTACCGATTATCGAATCATGGACGGTGCACCGGAAAGAGAGCGCGATTTGGCATCCCTTGAATATGTCTACCTTCGTGATTGGTGAGATGATGGACCGGCGCGCAGACATTTAATAAATATTCTCTGGTGTTCTGGGTGCCGATTCGTCTGGAGCGTGGATCGTTCACCGACCTGATAAACCGCTTGTTAGCGGAACATCTTTTTTTGCGACACGGAATGTAGAACGATCTCATCGCGGTAGACGTGCGTGTGTCGGTACCGCGTGCCGAAGGTGCGAGGAGGAGAACCGTTTTCCTCATAGGATGCACACAGCTCACACGTTAGTCCGCGATTCTTACCCTCCGACCGCGCTCTTTCACAATCCGTGTTCGCTTTGTCTCTCTCTCTCTCTCTCTTTCTCTCTCGTTACTTTGCTTTACTTTAGTTTACCCGCGAGAAGCTCCACGCGTGAGCGCCGTGTCGGCCGACACGGAAGTGAAATCATGAAGACGTGGCGAACGCATGACCATCTTATTCTGTATTTCGTAGTACAATATTTATAATTTACGTGTGCATTAATCACTTACTATTAGAGTTCTTTACATATCGGGAATGTTGACATGAAAAGTGTGCGATATACAAGGATTACCCGCGTTCACCACAAGCATAACAGAAGGAAATAGCGACGCTATTCTTCCCAACGATTTTAATTCTCTCAATAGCTTACTTTTACCGATACGATGTCGTCGAATTGATCATATTAGATGCCGAGATTAGGGGGGAAGCCCTCGTTTCATCGAAACGCCAACCTACCTTGCGCTCTTTCCTCACGCATCTGTTTTTCGAATTCGGGGAACCACGTTTAGATCGTTTCAGAAATCGAGTGTTGGGTGTGTGTGTGTGTATATATATATATATAACACACGATACGAAATGTTTCCAGATCGCTAATCTAAATATATCTCGAATCAAGTTGTCAGAAATTCCGCCACGGAAATCATCGTCTATTAATATTCGAAATTTGGAAACGTGTGTTGCCGCTTGAAATTGACAAATATACCCTTTCTCAGCTGCGAAAGTTCTATTATTTGAATTAGTACAAGTTGCAAAGTTCCAGCAATTTTTGAAGATACCTACCTGGTACCTGGTTACCGCGATTGCGTAATGTGACATCGATAATGTTGAGCATAATGAGAATCTATCAGCGCAAGTGATAAGGTTCGACCGACTACAATAGGGACTATATTATCGAAGGAGGTTATGTGTGTGTGTGTGTGTGTGTGCGTGTGTGTGTAAGATTGTGTGTGCGTGTGTATAGCGTAAAAATATATAAATATTATCACAGTATTTTACAGTTACGCTGTATGTACACAAATTACGATACAAACTAATCATGAAAGCCGCATTACTTCGCAGATTAACGTTAAGATCGTATTATTAATATTATTATTTGTACTCTGCAATGTCGACGCGGAGGGAATAGATTACAGTTTCTTTACATTCTATTTGATCGAGTCTGTAGAAAAGATATATCGCTTTCCTCCTCCTCCTCTCGGCTCTATTCCATTCCCGCCACTTACTCTTACTTGCTCTTGTCGGCTCACTTCCTCAAACACGGTATAATACAAAAATATCAACAAACAATACATACACACATACGCATGCACAATGTCGATGGATAGTGTGTCTCGCTACGTAAAGGGAATCTCGGGGAATGCGGGCGTGTGGGAAGAGGGGGGAAGATTAAATTAAAAAATAGTCTAAATATACTAACTACTTATTCTACGAGAGAAAAAAAAGACAATCCAAGATACTACACATGCCACTTGCGGTACAACACTTTGCACAAAAAGAGAGGAGGGAAAAAGAGGGGAGGAAAAAAACAAGACAATGAAACAACGAACTGGACACAACGATGCTCAGAGAAAAATGCGCAACAATACTTTCAAGCGTGCACCGCCGGATTCGCCCGGCCTCGCACCCACGCCACCGATTACCTCGGCTTATTCGCAATACGGCAATGTGCCCTGCTTTACGTAGTAAGGGAGCAGAACACCGAGTACCGTCTGACTTCTGAGAATCCTCAAAGCGCCTCCCGGCAGGACGAACGGAGGATCATTCCCGAGAATATCCTCCCTCTCGCGATGTATTCGCAAACGCGATATACGAGACGAAAGGAGTATCAACGTCCGCGTTGTGATCAACATCGGCTCATAAACGATATGTACACGTTTCGTACGTTTTCTCATAATAAATAAGAAAATTCGACGTCAAAAAATATCAACGACCTCGTGAACGCGACTCAATAAATATGATTTAAGTTAAATAAAACAAAAAATTAGAAAATATAAAAGTTCGTAGAGAAAGAAAGTAAAGGGAGGGAGAGAAGTGTTGAACAAACGTACACGGAAAACAAATTTAGTTGCAACTACCAAATGTCTGGTGCCGTAGGAACGAGTCCGATTGAAGTTATCAGAATTCCGTTCAAGTTGACGAGATTTCTGGTTAAGTAGCACTTATAACTATTTGATATTTGAGATATCGCGTTGTTCCTCCCTGATGACTAAAATGTTTACGAAACGTCGGAATCAGACAAAGAAGAATCCACGCGGCTCAAACCCGGAAACCAAATCTAGTACTTATAACCGTTTGATTTGAGCAGTTGCAAGTTCTAGATGCCAATCGTGTTTTATTAATCAGAATCTTGCAAGCTCGAACAGAATTCTGATGACTTTGACCGGAATTCGTTTAGCCGACATTTGGTTAATCCAAACAAATCTTTTCTTCCGTGTACGAAATAGCGTGCTCGACTCGTCGAGTGGTTCATCACACGAGACTATGTCCTTAACTTACGACATAATTATTTAATAAGGACACCTTTCTCTCTCCCTCTCTCTGGCGACCGAGCGTTTTGTCGCACGACGACTCCCGCTGCTGCTGCGCGACTCGATTGTCGAAGTACACCGAGAGCTTTGGACTTTGCGTAGCACACGGGTTCACCGTAGAGACGACGCGCAAAACACGGCCGATAACCGTTCCGTCGAGTCTCACAATCCGCTTCTCTCGATCAGCCCCGGGCATCCCCGGGACCATCGATCATTGGCGATTCGTCCCTCAAAGCGCTAATGGACGGGCTCGCGCCTCGCCGCCGCGCTTCGTCCCTTCACGTCGAAAATACCCCAAAACTATTCGTCCTCTCGCTTCAACGACGCCACGAAAACACGTCTGCAGAAAGCTTTCTGCGATTCTTTTTTATCGCGTTGCGTCGCGAGAACGCTGAGCCGTTCGAAACGCGCGACGCATCCGGTATTACACGGACGCGATGTGTGCGTACGTAAAATAATTAAGTACGTGTTCGAATGGACTAGATTTGCACGCGGAATTGGCCATAGTCACGTACGACCGACGCTGAAGAATAACTCGACTGTTGCTCACTTGCTGATTCCTTTCGCGTCCATCATATATAAATTTAATAAATACCATACGTGATTCTCTCTTTCTCTCTCTCTCTCTCTCTCTCTTTCTCTCTTTCTATCGTCACTTATACGCCCGCGAGTGATACACACAGCGGTCTGGAGGGAAATTACGTCAGTGGGTGTACGGCATCCAAAGAGAAACTATTTAAGTATCTGAAAGCCGTACGCGGCCTCGCGTCAGCGAGCGCTAAAATAGTTGCGCACCGCGTCTCTCTCGGAGAGAAGACCACATTAAACTACTAAAAATTAACGTACGTACGAATTCCATAAACATGACGAATTGACAAAAGGACGAGATTTTGCCACGAGACTACCCTTCCTCACCGCTGGACGATCACTACCCGAATTTGAGTCGCTCTCGAGTCAAAGCGAAATTCGAGCACTGACACCGGACGACATCGTGACGATCGGTATGACAATCTGCTTCTTTTTATTCTCCTCTTTTGTATGTAATCGAATAATATCAATAATAATAACAATAATAAGAATAATAACAATCAGATAATTGCACAATTTTCCTCGCGCCGTTGGCTCGAGTAGCTACAACTCTCTTCGAGTAAGTTAGCAAAAGATGCTTCTGATTAAATCATTAAAAGGAGTATTTCATCGATTTTCAGTAACAACATTCTCACTTTATTTCTGCGTTTTTTTATTTCGACCCGCGGTCGAAGTAAGATCTCGCTGTGAAATCTGTAACACACCGGCCCCTTGTACGCTGCATCACATCTAAATTGTTGCATTCACAAACTACAGCAATAATTGGGAACGGTAACTGCTAATAACTCATTTTCTCAGCGAGATTTTACTGATCGCAATGCTACACTTACAACACTGAACCACCAGTTATAAGCGTAGCATTTCAGTGAAGAGTATATGATTGTACTTTAGAGAGCAGATACTCTCTTCCACTATCGAAACTGCTTACCGAAACTATTGGGTTATTTGCCAAGTTCATAGGAACTTTTACGAAAAACTCAAAGTCGATACTTCATGGTATCTATAATATTTTAGTAGGCACAATTTTACTTTTCTCGTCTTCTTTCGATGTTATATTATTACTGTTCCTCATCGAAAAAAGAAAGCGATCATTATCGAATAAAGTTGGCTAATTACAAGAGCAAAGTCTTTTTAAATGTACATACAAGTCTCTATGAACCGATCGAGCAGAATCGACGCGAGAATCGACGAGTATTCGGATCTAAGAAGCAAAAGATATGTCTCGCGTAAGATTCTTGCGGACGATTCGATCGCGACGACGACGACGACGGCGAGGACGAGCTGAAGAGGCGAGTCTAGTCTAGTCTAGAGCGTAAAACGGAACGGACGGCGACGTGCAACGAGAGGCGAGCGCGTACTACCGTTGGGGGTGCGAGTGCGACATATGGGGATGATAGGCGGCGTGATGGGGAGGCAGGGGTGAAGGGCAGGACTGCTGATAAGGGCCCGCGGCGAGCATGGGTCCCGGGCTCGAGCACGGGACGAGGTGCGAGCTCGGTGAGGCCGCGTGGGCGTGCGCTATCAGGTGCGCGTGCTGCGCGTGCGAGGGTGGCGCGTGCTGCGAGCCCGGCGGCGGCGGTGGCGGCGGAGGTGGCGGCGGCGGATGGGGCCCTGTCGGGCCCCCCGCTGGTCCGCTACCAGGCCCGGTCGGATAGCCGCCGTGCAGCGTGCCACCGTGCGGCGAGCCGTACACCAGTTGCCTTACTTTCTGCTCGTCGTCGGCGATGTTGTACGTCAGCTCGGTCTCCTCGAAGCCGGTCGCCGACATTCTCTGGTCGCCGGACGAGCCCGACGGCGGTGGGTCCGGGCTGTTGAGGCATGTCTGGATCAACGCCTTGCCGGCCTCGCTCGTGATCATCGGCTGCAGCTTTCGCGTCGCGAACGTGTACACATGTCCGGTTTCGCTGGCCACCAGCAGCATAACTTGAGTACCGGTCAGCGTCGACAGTTCGTACGCCTGCAAGCGACAAGGCGTTGTGTTCGTTAAACTATTAGATAATTCGCAGCTGCTGGCAAACACAGACCACCCTGCCTGTCTTTCGACTCGCGTCGCTTTTATCTCGTACTCTACGGATGAATCACGACTGTCTCGGACACTTTGTGTCGTCGACACCTCCACCGGCACAGAATTTGAGAAACAGACGCGATTTTTCTGTATTCCTCGTTAAAACGACAGGGAGCCATTAAATCTGGTACTCAACGTCAGTTGCAGAAACGTTCGACGTCAGTTCGATGAAGGATGGAAAAAATGATTTGCATGCGAATATGAGAGCATGTTGTAGACGTTACTTAGATAGAATCACGCGACAATCAGATAACGTTTCAACGGTAACTACTGTGCGATGTGTATCACATATGAGACATGACACATGGAATGCTACTTGTAACATTTCAATGCTTGTAAATATTCATAAAGACAAAGTGACCGGTTCCCGAGACGTTAATATAACGTTAATATATTGACACACCGTAAATAATGTTGAGAACTGATTATATCACACATTTATATGCCGCTTAATGACATATTATTTTCACATCTCATTTTGCTGCCTCCAGTAATGCTAATAGAAGCGGCAAAAAAACACCCGATCCGCTGATAAACTATTAGCTAATTATAGAATTCCTTTGGATCGAATATATGTATAAACCAAGTAGCCGGTTGATTTATAAAACAGCGTTGCGCATATAATAGCCCCCTGTGATCCAACTACAAATCGATGTCATCTGTAGACACGATATCGTCCCACGCGAGAAGAATCTCGCAATTATCGCGCTACCGTAATTAATACATAATACTTCGATTGGAATTAGATCCAAGAACGCAATAAGAATTGATTTACGATTTATTATGATCGCCCAAGCCCGAAAAAGTATCCAAATTGTCTGCTTTACACGCCTATTTCTCAACTTTTAATGTGCGTTTTTCTATAAAAATGAAATATGATGTGTGTTAGTGATCAGCGAATATTGACGCATCAGAATTGTTACGTAAATCATATAAAAGTTGCACAACACAATTCGTAATAGAACTACCTGTACAGACGGTACGTTTGCAATCACTGCAACCGATTGGAGTTTGAGCGATTAAATCGTAGGAAGTGGGCGGAATAAAACGATTACGAGATTTTCTTCTCGAGCAGTTGATGAAATTATACCATGAAAGAATAGATTATATCTCAATATCTGTATTCGCGTTAAGTGTACCGTATTCATGTCACCGTTGAAATATTTTATCTTGCAGCGATTGTGTTAATAAACAGAACAGAATAGTAAAAAACTGGTACAGAATAGTAAAATATCACATTACTATAACTAAATCATTATATGGTTTCCCTATTGAATAAAAGATGTTTGTGAAGGTAAAGCAATATATTGGAAGCTAGGGAGAAAAGGAGATAAAGAGAAGAGAACAGAACGAAAGTAGAAATTAATAGTTGTTTCTCTTTTGGGCGATTTATTTGAACCTATTCTCAACCTGAGCCTGAGAGAAACGCGTGTACAACAAAGAGTGTACATTAAGGTATTTTTATCAGAGAAAGAAAGAAAGAAAAAGAACGAAATTTGTATTTAGCGTGTGGATCGCGATAAAAATACCCAATCGTTCCGATAATTTCTTCGTAATTTCAAGAGTAATTCAAAAGTTGCGCGATCTTTTCCGCGTCTTCCTACGTCTACGATGTGATTCGACGACGTTTCTCACCCGCGCATAATATGCAAAGAAACATATCGGTTGCGGAATTTGCGTACCTTCAATCGCAAAGTGTCAGTTATCAAAGATAGGATCGGCTTCCGGAACCGAATGCAGTGTGGCTTTTTGAAGACACATGTACGAAAATGACTTTAACGTTTACTTATGCGCGCATTTAATTACTCTCGCGGTTCATTCCACGCGGCGCGAGAAACAAGCCCGGGTGTAATCCTGGCAAGGAAAACCGGAGAAGCATGTGCCTTGTTTATTTCGATCGCCGATAGCGATTAAAGCGAGCGGCAAAGTTAAACGGGGTGAGCGCTAAGTGCTACCTCGGCACGACCTCAACGAGAGCAGCCCTAGAGGCGCGCTGTCACTCGTAAATCGCGCACGCACGCGTTCGTTTGAAGGCCCCACTACATCCCGTGCGCGTTATCGTCGTGGGCGCACAGCCGGAGAAACGCGACGTTTCGATACTATTTTCACAGCAACTTGTACACACGCACGCACGCACGCGCGCGTCCTTCTCTCTCTTTCTTTCTTTCTTTTTCTCTTTCTCTGTCTCTCCTCTACTGCCGTGGCACTCGAAGTTATACACAGCCGCGACGCGGCCGCGGAGAGATGCACGACGACGTCGTCGTCGTTGACGACGAGTCACCTTGCAAAGAAGGATTATAGGAGCGTGTTTTGGCGCGGCGAGCCGGTAATTAGGTTTGCCAAACTGATACGAACCTTCTTCATGATGCCAGTCTTCCTCTTGGAGAACGTGGTGTACCGCCTGAGCTTATTGTCGATGTACTCCATTTTAATTTTAACCCGGCCCTTGGTCTTTTTGCCGTTCGAGGGGGGTGACTTCTTCGGCTGGCCTAGACTCGTGAAGGACTCGTCGAGATTGTCAGGCACACAGTCGCCGGGCATGCCGGACATGCCCTGCGCCTGCGAGAGCGCCTGCCGCGCCGTGTTACCGTCGTCGTAGCAAACGTCGGACGTGGTGCGCTTGATACCCCGCTGCACAGGGCCGCCGGCGCCGCCGACGCCTGGCGTCGCGGCGCCCGCGGCGGCCATCATGGTGGCGCCACCGCGGCCTATTTGAGAAGCCGCCACGGCGAGCTGGGAGGTGGACGGTCGGCCGTAAATTTCCGTGCCAGCATCGCTCCCGATCATCCCCATGCTGCTGTAGCCGAGACTCGCGTACCGACCGTCTCTTCCGCCGCTAGGGTTGTCCATTACGAACGCGCGGCGCACATTTACTCCCTTCCCCACGGCGGCGCGTCTTCGCGTGCACGGAATCGCGTGCGGAACTCGGCGCAGTGTCTCCCACGTGATCGAGCATCTAGAGCAACACGGGACAACAAGGCGCACCGCACGAGCGCTCTCCGCGAACTGAATGCGCGCGCGGAGTATCGTAACTTGACCTACGTGCTAGAGCGCCTATGCCTCCGCGTGTCGCTGCGCGCCGCGGTCGCCCCCCACCAGCGCCGCGGCCGACGCTGTAAAAAAGTAGTCCGCGGTAACGCCACAGCGAGCAGCGGACGGGGATTTGCGCCGAAATCGACGTGGAAAAATCGCGACGCGTCCGAATTGCCGTTCGCGCCCGCCTAATCGTCCGTACGCTTCTCAGTTGCGCCGATATTCGCCCGTCTGCACCGTCGCGCAGTGGTACAGCGTGCGGCGAGAGGGCGTCCCCGGCTGCCATATTTAGAAGTAGACGTTACCATATTAGGGAAAGTTTGCCAAATATGGTGAACAGAGGTGGTCCTTCCTTTTCGAATGATCGCACGGCGCGCCGCTATGAAACACCAATCCAACTGACAGTAGCGCTTCCTGCACGCCTTTCCGGCCCCCTCTGGCCGATACGTTTCTATACGTGACCGCAAATAACAGCGGCCGACAGCGGATAGCTGTTACGGATAAGCACGCTTCCGAGTTACCGCCGATACCACCGCCGCCGTCGTCGTCATCGCAGTCTCTCCATGCCCCGGCTACGTGCGAACTTTCGGCACACCGCGTGCCCCTTAGGCAATGTCGTTCACGGAACTCTAATGAGACGTTAACGGCGGTACACTGTCACCAACTAACGACCGTATCGCGGAGCATTCGATACATAGTTCGCCTGTAATTGAGTTTCTTAAGTAGCCAAGAATGTTCATAACGTTCCGATACTGCTTCATGTCTCTCGTTTTTTATATTTTGTTTTCTTCAATGTAACAGATCTCTAACTTGTAACTACTGAGACAATGAGATTCGATATCTGATTTATATTAATACTACATCTTTCTGATGTATATAGATTTCTCTAAAAAAGTTCAAAGAATTACATATAACTTAGATAAGATCAATCTTTCAACTTTAATACAAATACGCATTAATTGGACACTTTTTACTACATTCAGTTGTGCTTTAAAGTTTCATATTACACATTACATCACATTAAATTTAAGATGCACGCAATATGAGATAGACCAATTTCTTATTAATAACCTTGTTTATATGCATATTATTAATAAATTCTTATTACTAAATATATATTTTTTGACTGATATCAACAGTATAACATATATGATTCATCTCACATGAATATTTTATTGGTTTTATGTATTAAATTACAATACTTATTGGAAGATAATTATATATATTATACTTAATTTTCTAGCCTGTTGTCTTATCAAACGCCAAAAACAGTGTTCCTTCTCTCAATATCATAAAATTAAAATTTAATTTGTATCACATGCTAATGTACGTGCATGAGACACAAGAGTATCATGAAGTTCACGAGCATATCCTACTTGTGTACGTACAGTTACCAAAAACTGAGGATATGTTAATGCCGTTCCTTCCGGGGCACTGACAGTGTCAGTGCGCGTTGGTAGAACAGACAATGGTAGATATCTAACTGAACTGGAATTCTGAGACAAGCACTCCACAGAGGTCTTCAGATGTAGTTCTATCTGATCACAAATTGAGTAGAACTCTTCCATATTTTTATTGAAGCGATGATCAGGTTGATCTATTCCCTTCATGGATCCAACATCTACCAAACTGTTCTGATGCAGCGTTTGTGCTGCAGTTTTGAGAGCTATAGCTAAGGATTCTCTTAAGGGCCCTACTAGAGATTTTACTTTGGAAATATTATCTAATTTCTCCTGTGTCTGTTGCTGTTGTTGCTGCTGCTGCTGTTGTTGCTGTACTTGCTGCTGTTGTGTTTGTGGCGGCTGCTGTTGAGCCTGAGGTAACTGAGTGTTCACTTGCTGCGCCATTTGACCTACTCCTATGGCTCCTGGTTGCTGAATTGGAATGTTCATTTTAAATACCTATGAAAACAATTAAATGAAAATTTATTATGCTAACATTTAACAAAACAAACAAGACAAAGTTGACAAATGTTTTCATATTATTCTATCAGTTAGAAATTACTACAAATATTCAATCATTTATGAGTTTATAAAATTTCCTAGAAATTTGTCTTTGTCTTAAAAATAACTTTATATCCATTATTGTTTGTGTTAATTTAGGAGATATTTATTAATAATATGAATTTAAGTTATAAATACTATTTAGAGGTTACAGATATTTTCTAGTATGTACAAAACTTTACAATCTTCTATTTCATGTGCTATTAAAATTACTTTAAAATTTGACACTTTTGAACTAAAAAATAACGTAAAAATTTCGTTGATAAGAGTTTGATAGTAAAATAGTTCTTATGAAATAAAAATTTTCCGATGAGGTTATGTATATTATATATATATATATATGTATATAATGTATACATAGAAATGATACAAACATAATATTATATTTTAATATCTAAGAATTTACTAACTTACAAAATGTTATGTAATTGTGTCTCAGTTTAATAAAACATTAATAATCCTTACCGATTTATATAAATAATGTGACACAAATCACGAAAACACTAACAAAATTTTGAGATTGTAGAACTACTTCACAAATTTGCTGGTTCAGTTGTGTCGTGACTCTCTCTCTGGTCACAGGCCTAGCTCGGTGCTCTCTCTCTCTCTCTTTCTCTAGTTGTGTCGTGACTGCACTAGCGCTCGTAAACTCTAATGACTCCTGCACACAGGACGCGGTAATGCTTGCCGCGTGGCAGAAGTTCGCGCGACAGCCAATCAATATGCTGCTTTCCGTAATAACCTTCTAGCTCTTACGGAAAAACAACATATTGATTGGCTGTCGCACGGACTTCCGTTGCGCGGCAAGCATTATCGCGTCCTGTGTGCAGGAGCCATAAGGCGTTTTTTCGTTACGTAACCACGATAGCGTTTGGTTGGTTAGTTTGATCCACTTAACGCTCGCAACGCCACGAGCGTCATTCTATCTTTGTGCTCTCGAGGGAGCGTCCCAGATGCGCATATTGACAAACGGACACAGCCAACCACAACGCCGTATGCCTAGAGATATTCTAAAGACTCTATAAACAACGACATATGATTGGATGTGTCCGTTTATCAATGTGCGCATCTGGGACTCACTCTTGCTCGAAGCGTTGCGAGCGTTAAGTGGACCAAACCAATCAACCAAATAGTATCGTAGTCACGAAACGAAAAAACGCCTATAGTTATCGGACAGATTTCTAGCCACAAATGTCTATACTAAACTAAATTGCTAACAAGGGCTTCGAACGTGTGTCGCGTAAAGTTTCCGGTTGCATGCGAGAAAATGGCGGTGGTCCTGTGTGTGTGACGTGTCACTTGTGTGAGTACTTACACGTACAAGTGAGTCAGCGTGGCAATTAAATTACTGTCGTAAAACCAAAAATGCCAGCATCTTATTGCATAAAAAAATGTCGTAACAAAAAAATAGATGGTATTGAACGTTATTTGCTATTTTCAATAAAAGAATTTTATGACTAAACGTAGTGAAAATATGTGGCGATAGCGGCCATTTTCTTGCATGCACCTGAAACTCTATCGAACACAAACAGTTAAAGCCGGTTTATGATCGAGAGCCGGTCGTAATTCGTTAACTTATGCTAGATCCGTAAAAAATTGACCAATCACAGTCGATTATTCTTCTATAATTTGACTACAATTGATCAAGTTTTTACTGTTCCAACATAACGGATTACGGCCATCATAAACTAGCCTTTACATGCTTTTAGATAGCCTGTTAGCAATCTAGTTTAGTATAGACATCTATGTTTCTAGCATCGTGAACATAAAGCTGAAGTCCAGGGGATCAATCATGAATCTTTTCCTCTAACGTGAACTCGTGAAAAGTGAACATTTCTATATGCTTTTACATTAGAAAATTTTCACTTTTCACGAATTCACGCTAGAGGAAAAGATTCGACCAGCAGGGCCCCTATTCTTGAAATAGTTGCGTATACATAAGTTTTACTGCGCAGGTTTAATCATATAATAAAATAACTGCGCAATGAAAATTACGTATACGCAAAAATTTCAAGAATAGGGGCCCCGATCTACAATAGGTAATTTAAGCTCTAAGCTTTAAGAAATTGACCAATCACAATCAAATTTGAGGAGAATAATCGACTATGATTGGTCAATTTCTTAAGGCTTAAAGCTTAATATACCTATTGTAGATCGGGACTAAAACTTGGTTATGAATACCGGCTATTGTTTCTTATGCAGAATTGATATATTTTTAAGGTTGATTGTATATAAATACAACGTGGTGAAAATTCCAAAAGTGAGCAAATTTATTAGATATTGTGATCAATAAAATTACAAATATTCTAGTAAATTCGTTCATTTTTTAATTTTTACCAAGCTTTGTTAGCATATAATTGATCCCCTTATGCAAACATTTTAATTTTAATCCAGATTAAGCGAATGGCACGCCCGGAATTGAAAATTCTTTGAATAATCGATTGTGGTTGGCCAATTTGCTTACAGTTTACGGCTTAAAGCAAGGTTGTAGATCAAGGCAAAGCCGAAAAGTGAAAAAATTTACTAGAAGTGAGAGAGATTTCCAATTTCATTGGTCAACACCTAGTGAATTTGCTTACTGTGGTAATTTTTAATAGATGTGTTAATACACAATCAACTTCCTAACCCACAACCTTGTTTAAGCTATAAGCCGTTAACAAGTTGACCAACCACAATCGATGATTCTTCTTACGGTTCAAGAAAAATCAATTGTGATTGGTCAACTTTGTGTGCTACGGTCATTAGAAAATTTTTATAAGTTTATGTTAGAATAAACCCCTAACTAAATGGGAAACAGACTTAAAATTGGAATATAAATACTGGCTTTTGTTGCAGTGATGGATTTATAAATAACAGGTCGTTAGACATTTTTATCGAGCCTAGCAAGTGAATTCGTTATTTTTTGCCATATCACTACTATTCGATCTACGAACGCGCTCCAGTCCCCCGAGACCCAATGAAATCGCAGTGCGAACGAAGCCTCGTAGCCAGCAGCGAATCAGCGCGCGGCGACAAGACCGCGTTGAATTACGCATGGCGTCCGGGAAAGGACGCCATCTAACGACTGGCATTCCTGCTTGTTCCTGCTGGTACGAAACCAGAGCTATCGTGTAAGCGCGGAAAGTTCTCGGTTTTGTTTGGTAGAAGTGCGGAAGTGCGCGTCCCGTGTGAATTCCGTGATCTCGCTAGCATCCCTTATTATGGCGCGAGCATGCTATGTGAAATGATAGACGAAGGATTGCGTACGCTGCTCACCGGCCAGGCATTTCAACGTACGTGCTAACCGTGTGCGTTGGCACGTAGAGCGGTCAACCTCCTCCCGCATAAGACTCTTGGCTGTGCCGCTGCTGGTGGATTCCACTCGCTTATCTGGCTGCTCCCGCGGCTCGCAGGTAAGAAACCATACGAGCACACGGCTGTAGCGGCGCGATCCGTCCCGCCAGTACGTCCCAGCTGCGTCTTCGCCGCGAAAATTCGCCCGTGTTTATGTTTACTCCTTTAATTACCCCCTCCCCCGTCTCGCCACTTGTCCCGTCCCGCCTTTCTCAATTTTCTCGCCGTTTTTCACCAGGAGTCACGTTTTCATATCGACTTTCCATTTCACACGCACTTTCGCGCCTTCTTTGCTATCAGTGCGGGTAAACACGGCTTTCCTTTGTCGCCGAATCATATATTACCATGTCGCCCGGGCAATCAGTCCCGATGTACAGAAGTTCCGTGCTCTAGCAATGATAATTGCGTTATATAAATTTTGTATTATCACGTAGCGTTCTTTTTTTGTTTTTTAATATTGCACTGTTATGTTCACGAAAAAAAATATCTAGGAAATGTACTGTTTCATCTGTTTATATAATTTGCAGTAATTGCAGAGTAATAATTATGCAGGATAGTAATCACATAGATGTGCATCATACCTAAATTGGCTTTATGTTTGAGTCGATCACTGTTCAAGTGACAAGTATACTTTTGTTAGCTGTATTAGCCAGTGGCAGTTTACACTATAGAGACATTTCGAAACACACAATCTGACCTGTTAGAAATATAAATTTCTAAGTATTTGTTTCACCAATCACCACTACTTGTCATTAGGTATTTACCATTTAGAATAGCAATAAAGTAGTGAGTTCTGATTACATGACAATAATAATAATGAGAGATACTTTCATTGCTTTCATATAAGTAAATAGAAAGAATAATTACTTCGGTGGAAAATGAGCGCATCTGCCCTAAAATCGACAATACCCGGGGTAGGTACGTCGCCGACTTCTACTAGCCATTCGATGTTGCCTATGAACGCCATGGCGCAGAAAGTTGCCGGATCGGATAGCGGGTCCATGAAGCCCTTGTCAGGAAGTGGACTCAGCTACGTCACTCTGCAACCACCAAGTCAACCACTCAGTCTTGTACAAGATCACAGACCCTCTGTGTATCAGGCTCCATCTTACATAGGCAGTAGCATGGAGAAGGAGCCAGAAACTGAAAAACTAATACCGAATGGTGTTGAAGTGGCAAAAACAGAAACTGAGGAAGATGTGCCTGCTGCTGTAAAGCAAACCGATTCCAATAGAAATAACAACTTGAGCCCTGAGAATCCTGCCCCTGAGCAACCATGTGAAATTCATCCTGAACAGGAGCTCACATCGTTAACTTTGGACTTTCCTGGTGAGTAATGCATTATATTTATAACAATGATTAAATACGTAATTCTGTTGTTTGACAATATATTAAATAATAATCAAATATACATATATTCGAAGATTAGGACTTTATATGTTATTATTTTTTACATACACATATTTAAAGATCAATATTTGCTTTATATCAAGTAAAACTTGAAACAATTAGACATGGAAAAAAGTACATATAGAATTGAACACAAAATATATTCGATTTGATGCAATAGTGATTATATAGCACATAACTTATGTGTGGTTATACATCTGTCTTTATAGCTCTGTGCACACAAGTGCAAACACAAGCACAAAATAAAGTTGAGGAAAAGAAGACTCCTGTAAATAATGGATCGAAGGAATCAGACGGTAAAGCTGTTAATACTCCTCCTGTACATATGAAACCATCTCCACACAAGCCTGAAGACACACAAGTTAAAAATGAAGTCCCAAAGGCAAAACCTGTCACCAATCAGAGTATAAAAGCACCCAGCGACAATGCTGCTGTGCCACCAGCCAGCACAATAAAGCCTGAAATAAAGGTTGCTACTTCTCTAAAGACAAATAAGCGAAAATCCAGAGAATTGAAGGACTTGAAAGGAGCCTCTACGGTTGCCGATGGGGCAAGTAAACCTAAAAGGAATCGAGTTCAAACGCGTCTCTATCAGAGCCCGCTACCAGACATCGCATTGTTGGTCAAAAACCTCAACAAGACTCCAGGTCCTAAAGCTACCGACGATAAACTAATTGTGTTCTATAAGTGAGTATATATTATTAATTTATAAAAATCTCTGAACAATTCTTTACTCGTTGATATATTAATTATTAAATGTTTGTTGTATCAGAAACGAATTTTTGGCTGTGAGAAATGCTGAGGGAAGCTTCTACGTTTGTCAAGCGGTGCAAAATATCTATAAATCGAGCAGACGTGTCCGTATACGTTGGCTGTCTCAAGACAAGAATAATGGAGAAATCTATTCACCAGATTTCTATGATTTTACAGGTACTACTGCTTGTTAATTTTAACTGAGTATTATATTTATATATATTATGTTACAATTTGTTATGTATATCTGTATTTACATTAGAGTATTACTTGTCATCTTAACATCATTGTTTCGTTTTTAGATTTTGATTGCATACTGACGAACCTGAATCTAAACAAAATCGACAAGAATAAATTCCAGTTAACCAAAATAGAATTATTGCGTACTGAGAATATTTTGAAACGGGCCATCGATGTGGAAGCTGGGGTATCAGAAGCACCTCGAGTTACGGAGGAACATCCCGATGGTTGTGAGTAACCAATATATATATATATATATATATATATATATATATGCCTTACAAAATTAGTACAAATTAATACTTTCAATATTACTATTTTAATTATTATATTTCAATAATATATTTTTTTTATTTCATATATTTTAATTGTTTTTTATTTCAATTGTTCCCCGATGAACTTAATGCATTTAAATTTACCACTTAGTAAACCACGGTATTTTTCTCCTCGCAGTGGACCTATCGCTGTATAAAGACGAGTCACAGCTGAAAAGAAGAAAAGGCGTGCACAAGGAGAAGACGAATCAACGAAAGAAAACTAAACGAGCCGCGAGTTCTTCGGAGGACGACGGAGACGAGGAGCAGTCGGAAAAGAAATCGTCCAAGGCGAGCCGTGCGAAGAAACGACCGGCCAATAAAAGGACGACGACCGCTAAATCCGTCGCAAAAAGCAGTAGCAGGGCGGAGAGAGCGCTAAACAGAAGCACGAAATCACAAAGTGATGGCAACGACGTAGCTACTACTGCCACTACTGCTTCTACTGTAGCTACTACTACCACCACTACTTCCGTCGCTACCGGTGCCGCCGCCACTACTGTCACCGCTGCTGCAGGTGCTACTGCGAGTCCCGCCACTAATGCTTCCGTCGCAGCGGATACCAAGAATAACACGGAAGTAAAAAAATTCGAAATGAAGAAGAACGGCAAACAGCAAAGTAACAATACTGCTGGCGGAGTTCCAAGAACGAAACCCCGTGGTAAGTAAGGTATTTGTAATCCGTGTCAAAACGGGAAGAGAGAAAAACCGCCAGAAGAGTTCACACATTGAAGCAATAATGTTTTTATTACGTATAATATCTGTGTTCGACGTGATAACACCTAAACAACTTAAACGTAGTAAACACTAATAAAAATTTGAAGTTGCCATCTTTGCGACAGCGTGTCGCGTGTGCACGTTGAGAGATTTATCTTGTTAATAATCTGTTATATCATCGCGTCTATAATTTCAAGGTACTGCTCAAGCTGCACAGCAAGCCAGTAAAACGGCAGGTCGTCCGAAGCGCGTGACCGCCACCACCGGTGTTTTACCGACTGAGGAAGCATCTTCGCGAAAGAAACCGCGCGGCCGAGCGTAAAACATACCTAACGCATAATTGCTTTTTTATGCTATAGTTACAGACGAGTCTGTATCGTAGGCAATATGTACGTGTGGTACACCTCTTGAAAAATTACAATCAATTTATTGTGTAATATATACATATGTACGATCTCAAGATTCTTAAATGTATCATGTGCCGCGATATATTATAGTCCAACGATACGGGATCAACGACTTGTATCTCTAATTCGTCAAGTCGCATTTGAGAAAAAAAAAGAAGATAAAAGAAAAATAAAGAAAATAGAAATGACTCAGAGAGAGAAAGAGAGAGAGATTATATATGAGTGATATTGTGATATCATACAAAATTTGTACATATCGTCTACGTCTCAGACTCCATCGGGAGAAGAAAGTTATGAAATGTGTGAGAAAAAACGGTACCTTGAGTTGAGTAATAACTATCTACAGGGTGTCACATACTAATGCACTCTTGCAATAGTCTATTTTTGATGTTGTGAGTGAACCGTACGTGATTCAGTTGGTTTTAATGTACACTTTCCATTGGATATAATAGCTATGTACAAATATATATGTCTGGGAGGGGGTTGGGGATTATATGTATTCTGTAAAAGAAACAGTGGGAAAGGGAGGGAGGGAGGGAGGGAAGGAGGAAGTAAGTAGGATTATAAAAAAGAGGAAAGAACATAGTACTGACAGGAATTTAAACAAAAATATATAAAATTGGAAACAATCCCGATTGTTGCCGAGTTTAACCCGATCGACCGGCAAAGGATCTCGAAGTACAATACCTGTACATTATACTGAATCCTTGCTGTTAAAAAGAATAAAAAAAAAAGAGAGAGAGGATAGCCCGTAAAATGGTCCAGCGCCTAGTAGGGACAGGCAGAGTAAAGAAGTGCCCAGAATTGTCTCCTTGTTGAGCCAATGGATTCGCGAGAAACTCGCAAGCAGAAAGTAGCATGTTGCTTATAGTTTGTTTTTTCAATTTGCACTCGCGGGGACCCCGTCATTGTAAAATTACGGAGTTCGCGCTAAACAGAGAGTGGTGCCACGTTACGATCTAGGTACATAGACGTAATTTTAAGAGAGGATAAATAAAGTTCTTGTTTGCAGTCGATAGTATACAATTTTAAGTGTATAAATTTTGATTTATGTTCACGTGTTAACTTTATTTTTCGTCCAAGGTTAAACAGACGAAATGTATATTTAATAAGCGATAGACCGTTATAATTAATATTTTACCAAATCTAAATTCGTATATATACATATACACACACACACACACACATATATATATATATATATATATACACACATATACATATATACATATATATTTTTTAATGTAGTGCATATTTTATACATCCCGTTAGCGTAATATGTTTGTCGAAGAACGCAAGCTTATGTCGATGTTTTTCTTTTTTTTTTTTTTTTGTTCTTTATCTAAAATGAACTATTAGTGAGCGTCGTTTGATTGTAATTGTGTAACAAGAACTCATATATTCGTTCTTTTCTACACTATGACGTCGCATAGTAGAAATATGAGAATCTTGCGAGGTAGATAGGCATTATTTATAAGAGGTCGACAGCTTCACGAGCGTGCGAGAGAGCGTGCTCGTAACGTTGTTGATTGCGAAAGAGAAAAGAAAAAAAAGAACACGCCGAATAAGTTTCCGACGATTTCGTGTGGGGATATGTGTAAACGTATTTTATACATCGGCCGTTATAAGCAGCGCGACCACTATTGCTACGCAATAGGGAATATTCTTATGGCACATTCACTCACAAACACATACACATACAGTATGCCGCTTCGTTTTTAATCGGACATGTGTACATATATAGACAAATTAGATAATCAAAATTGTGCATACGCGAGTGTGAGGATTTCCGTATGACGTTCCGAATCGATCACTATCACGTCGATTTGCTTAGCACGTAATGCGACACCCGTATTTTGTTTTTAAACAAGTATAAGGGTATCGCTGCACACAGGAACACGTAAGCAATAATGCTCGGGCGGAAAGGCGAATCGCGGTCACTCGTACTTGAAGATCGTTGACAGCATAGACTTGTGTTGATTTTATTAAGATTTTCGACCGCGACTAGCTTACCGCCGAAAGTTATTACTAACTAAAAGCCTGCTGCTGCGCGAATCCGGTTACTTGTCATCTCTCTTTCTCTTCCTATCTGTTTTTCTGTGTGCCACGATATGTGCCAATGAGCCTCGACTCTCGATGTACGTGTTTATGTCGCGCGTTACATCTCTCCAACGATAACGTTGTGTTGATACATCGAATGACGAGAGGGGAGGCAACACGCAGGTGACACGCAGGTGATACCGCCGCGCGCCGTTCACGAAAGGGAAAGGAAGACAGAATAGCGTATATCGACCTCTGTTCGGAAAAAGAGAAAGAAGATAGGATACACGTCGCAATTGTCATGCGCACATTATATATGACTAAGATGAATTTCATTCTCTCGCGATGAAACACACTGTATTTGAAATATACGCATACGAGGCATACTGCGTAAATTTAGTGGAGAATTCTAATAACGACACATACACGCATGCAACATATACACATACACACATCCACTCAGAGAATACTGTTGTTTATCTAGATTGTTATTACTCAATTTCGCTTGAGAAATAATTACGCGATCCATTTTTTTCTACTGTACGGGGTGTTGCGTTCACAAGATATGGGCGGTTGTTAACAACGTGCAATCGGTAAATGCAATTGTCGTATAATTGTCGGCGTGTAAGGCTATATGATGATGATGGGCTTATCGTTCGCTTACGCAGCTTCCGCAGATTCGTTCCCCATCTTGATTTCCCCTCTTTTCTAATCACTTTTTCAAGCTCGGACGGGACGTAGTTCGAATTGTTGAAACGTTGTGCGAGATACGCATTCTTTCGCTCATGATCGCGGCTCAATATCGAAGATTCACTTTTCATACAAACGAACGAGCGAGAGAGATTTTCTTCGTGGATTCAATGCACACATCCGACTCATTTTTCTCAGGAACTCGCGCAACTCTCCATCTTTTAAATCGAACAGCGAGTGTCAGATAGATAAACAACAAGGCAAGAACCGAGCAGTGACCTTGCGTGATGAAATGACACTACGTCGAACAAAAATATTGACAAAAGTAGACGTTTCCATCCTGCTGTTTAAACCTTTTCTTCGCAATGGTACAGAGAAACATTTTCGTTCCTCTCATTTACTCCCGTAAATATATATTTACATCTAATGTAATATATTATTTCAAGGGATCTGTTTTCTGTTCCTGCACTGCTAAACTGGTGCAGTAAGTTAGAGTGAGACAAGTATATTTTTTCTCGCTCTAACTTATTGCACCAGTTCAGCAGTGCAGGAACGAAAAACAAACCTAAGATCTCTCGGTGCTCGCGCGGCCCTCACTTGCCTCTAATCAACTTTCCGATTGTACATCTTTGAGAGCCTTTATACATTTATTCAAACAGTGAGAGAAAACGTATCTGAGACGTGCACGCGTTTACAATGTTGCGGGGCACGTGTAAGAAAAAAAAAGAAAAACAAAGAGGAAAGAAGAAATGCCGAGATGTGTTTGCGTTGTAATGGAGCAATGGGAGCGGTTTTCAACTCGCGTAACGATTAAGTGTCTTAACATTAGCTCTTATTAGGTGTAAGCGCTTCGGATGCTGGTTTACTAAAAGTAATCAAATAAACTAACTGTACGATGTATATATCCGTTGACATATATCGGCCGTGGTATATGTAGTAGCACTGTAAGCGATCATCATCTCTTTTTCTCTCTGTCGCACTCTGTTCTTACGTTGCGCGACTTTTCTCTCCCTCTCTCAGGCTTCTCACAGCAGCGATTCCGAGTACAACGTGTACATAATTTTCGATCGGGTGCCCGACATCAAGAAAGACACGAAAGAAAGAAAGAAAGAACGGGCGGACGGGCACTTTGCACGATTCTTCAAAGTGAAACAATCGATCCTGTTTCTTTCCCCCCCGCTCGATCGCGGTAATAGAATTTTTAGATAAGTATATAAGTATACACACACACGTACACACACCCGCGCGATTTCGCCCGCGATTTAGTTTAAGCAAGAAAGAAAAGAAACGACACGCAGCTTTCTTACGCGCGGCTCACACCGAACTTTGATCAACTTCGGTTTGCGATTCATTGACGAAAGCGCAGAATCGTATTATGAACCCTTTCATGCGCGAATTTGATGCAAAAAAAAAAGAAAACAGGTAAGGAACACCCTATTCTTACGTTGCGCGTTACGACCAAAACGTAAACGAGATCTTATTTAGTAAGTCATTTACGATTACAATAGAATTATGATTAAATCTTTTATAATTACACAGTTGTAGGGGATACGACGTTCACTGAGATGTGAGCTTGAGACATTTATTGTAGGGCTATAAGAGAGGCCAAAAGTAGATATTTACCGCAATAAACACGATGCATGATAGGGTTAATAATAATACTTTTCACGGTGCCGCGAGAAGGACGGCGCCGTTGAAATTGTGGAAACAACAAGTAATCGATACGCTATTAATCATTATTTTGTGCGTCATAATGCGTTTTGTACCCGGTCTGACCGAGTCGGCGAGAACCGGGCACGATTTAGTGCGTTCTCCTGCTATCCTAAGTGGCAACAACTTCATATACTTGTAAAAAAAAAGAAACGTCCTCCCCGTGTGGAGTTTCTCTATCATTTCGAACGAAAGTTGTTTTATCTTGTAGGATAATATCGTAAGGATAAGAGATAAGCATTTCTTTCAATCTATCCGATTTCGGACTAGAGGGTGAGACATTACTTCTCGCGCTGTTCACGCTCTCGATGGTAAATCGAAAAATAACGGAGATACACAAAAGTGTTTTGTACAAAGGTCTTTTGGTTATGTATGTATAATAAAGTGACGTCCAGAAATATTGTGGGTGTGAATTCTTTTTTCTCAGGAATGCAGAAGATCCCACTTTTGTCCATAACTTGTCCAAAAATGAATTGTTCAAAGTCAAATTCCTTTTTCAAAAAGCAAAGTTTAAATAAGTTGCTCAAATATAATTAGAGAGAGAGAGAGAGAGGTTGAGAATAATGCGTTCAGCAAGAGAGTATATACACGATATAGTATAAAAATGCGTTTTAATAAATATCAATAGAAAAAAAGTTACAGAAAATATCTACAGGGATTACAAATATCAATATAAAATTATATATATATATATATATTTATATATATATATATGTTCCGCAACATATAATAACATTATCGAAAACCCTTACGAATAATATTTGTCTCAATGCATCTAGTCTTAATATTAGTCGTATCGTATTAGTCGCTAAAGGTAATCGTAATACTCTTCATTGACACCCGATTGAGAGATATTGTCGATTTCCATAGTTTCGCTCTGACATGCGTCAAGTAATATATTAGTGATAATAAATAGTAAGCCATTCGCAACACTGCATGGATAAGACGATCGGAATTCTTACGACAGCTTGTGGTACAGCGAAACAAGCTCTAAGGACACAGTCTCGTGTCCAACACGATTCTCGCTCGCGCGATAGGCAAAAAAATGATTACAAAGGAGGACCATTGTCTCAAGTGTTAAATGAGTTAGATTACAAGGCACTAGTAAGAACTCAATTGTCATTCTCTTCCTATATCCGTATCCACTGTATCGTCGCGAATAACGGAAGAGCTTTATTTGTCGTTATATAGGACTAGCAGAATATACAGAGTGTCCCGCTTCGAAAGTATTATTTTGCGATGGTAAATTTCCTAGCGAGATGTCTCGAGACTCTTTGCTGAGAAACAAATAATCTCGAACTAGCCAGAAAGGATCTGTATCATTTAACCATTTCACTTGGACGAGCTATCCATCAGCCCTCGATGCAAGCTACGGAAGACTGTCGACATAAAGAGAACTACTGTCTATAGTGGAGTTCTATAAAGAAAAAAAAAATTTGCTTAGCAGATAACTACTGCAACGATGCGCACAGCAATGAAATGGTTAAAAAATACATACATTGTGCGGTAAAAATGGGATGCCCTGTATAGAAAAGAGATTTTAAGCAATTATTCGCCGAAACACAATTCCGTGCGCGTTCGCTCGAATATACGGCTATAGAAGCACCATTAAACTTACGGTCACAGTTCTTTAGGAATACTACGCTCGCTAAGGAGAGATATACCAACCTCTGATTACAGGAACATTCGTAGAAGAATCTGCCTTTCGAACTTTATTTTTATAATCGCTACGATCCTACTTCGTTCTCATTTGCAAACGTAACGTTTGTGTAGTGAAGAAAAGATTTTCTTTGGGATACTTTGTATGTACACAGTCGGTAGCTGTAGTTTACCACGTTTCATATGAGAAGGAGCGATTACATGTTCCTTTTTCCGTCTAGGAATGTAATTTGGTCCTACAGCACACGCAGCAATGTTTATGGATGATCGTCTTTGAATTCCTATTCCGGAACGAGTACAAGTTAAACGAGTATACTGTTGCATCCACACACGAACTCCTCTCTAGAAGATGCAACATTACGCGTACATTTTTATTATCAGATAAATCGTAGACGAGTGACGCCCCGTCATTGTTGTAGCACGGTATACACATTATAAGCCTGAGATTTATAGTAACTATATTCTTCTTGGAGAAATTTGCGCGAATAGTATGCAGTAAGTTTCATTGACGCTATAATTCAAATGCGCTACGGTATTTTTCACAAGAATTTTGGGCTAGACATAGCACATAATTTTCTATCTGGTGTATAAAAAACAATACAAAAGGAAAGGAAAAAAAGAGTATAATTCAAAAAATGTTAGTATCGATGCTAGTCGTCGATACTCGTAAAATAATTTATACAATACTAATGAGCACACCGCAATCTGATGTCAAATTTTTCGACACCGCTTTATGAAGAAAGAAGGAAGATAAACCCAGTTCACTTACGTGAATAAAAATATGTGATAACGTATCACTCATTATTCATATTCGTACTATATATCTAGGTATCTATCGATATATTGAACGATACAAAATACGTACAAATCGGCTTGCCTCATGCGTGAAGACAAACTGGAGATTCAATGGGATGACTCTGTTCGTAATACACAGAGTTCCCTGTGATAATCAATATGGAAGATCAGACCCAAAGCATGCCGCGTCTAATTCTCTCGCAGCGCATTTCATTTCAAATATATTATTTAATAACTTATTTTCTGAACTAATTCTCTTTTTAAACATGATGGAGACAAACTTTATCGTCTTCGGAAGCACCGACTACAGTCAGTATATTGTATAAACGCAAATTACTTTAACGATCTATTTTAACCTTTTCGGTAACGCTGAGTATACGGCATGTCGTGGTGTTTAGACCAAAGCTTCGGAGTGATAATGATGATAGTGATGGTGTATATGCTCGTGTACATGCCTCCGACCGGACGTAACAGCCGCCGCATTTTGCGAGAACTCGCGTTCGAGCCAACGCACGACCTGCGCCATCGCTCGAGCCTGATCCTGTTCCCGAGTCGCGTGCTTCAGCTGATGCTTCTTCGCTCTGCAGCACTGCTGCGACTGAATGAATTGCGCGTTGTTACGCTGCACGTTGTTGTGATTGTTGGTCACGTTGGTCGGATGGTTGGCCGCCGTCTGCTGATTGTTGTTGGGCAAGAGATTCACGATGTTACGATGGGTGTTGCTGCTGGTAATGTGTTGCGGCGGTATGTCGTTGTAGACGGTCGTCGGCACGACGACATTGCGATTCAGCATCTGCGAGTATCCGTAGGCTTGGGAAGCGTGCGTCGCGTTGTTCCGCGATGTGTTGTGCCGCGCTTTTCTCAGATTCGTCCGGGGCTTGGACGGTGTCTTCGGAAACGATGCGGAATGATGGGTGCTTTCCCGTATTGGCTTGTGATAGTTGATGGGCACTTGACGAGACTCCACAGGCGGCTGACAATCCTGGTTATTGTGATTCGTACTTTCCTGATGAGGGCTGTGAGACGGAATGCGCGATTGTTCGTTTTGGTGCCGTTTCCTGTGAGCAAAACGAAAAACACCCAAGTTTAACCTAGATTCAATAAGGCTCTCAGATTTACAACCACAAAAACAGCCGCGGAAGTAATTATATGAACGTTATATTTTCGTTATATTATTTTTGTGATATTTTTGGGAATTTATTTATTGTAAGTTATATATTTACCATAGAAGGAGGAGGGCATACTAGGTGGCGGCGGGACGCCGTGCGTTCGAGATCTGCGTATCTTTTTCGTTCCAGAAAGAGAAAAATATCGAGAGCGCGGTCTTGCTAGGCCGGGACTCGAACCCGGGTCTTTCGCTTGCCGGGCGACTGCTCTAAACCACTGAGCTACCTGACGCTCACGACACTCTCCTCTTCCTAGATAACGCTCAGAGATTCCGTTCGGAAGCGACATCTCTGGCGCGATCCCGAGCGCACGGCGACTACAGAGAGAAACAATGTTACTGTACCAAATGGTACAGCTGTCAGTCTCTCAAAGTCAAAGGTTGCTATCCTTTAAGACCTGCTGTTCATGTATGCCCGTCTCCACCGTTGCCCCTCCTCATCCGGTGTAAATAATACAAATAAGCCCCGGGGTCGACACCAAGTATGCATATATTTGGAAATTATTAAATTATATTATTTTTCACAACGAATTATCTACATTAGTTCTTACTGCCTTGTTTTTTTATAGTTGTAAATTTAATCTGTAACGTTTAGATATATAAAGAGAAGAGAATGCTGACGCACTAAAAACTGAAATGGTTCATTAACGTGCCATTATAATTTCATAAATATGATTGCGCTAATTTACCTTGATGTGTGAAAACTGAGATTATTCTTTTCCATGTTGGCCTGAATAATCTCCAGTAATTGTTGCCTCTGTAGCGCGCCGCTGCGCTTTCGCTGATTCGTCGTAAGAAGCGGCGTTAACGGCGAGAATGCGGGGGAAGTGTCACTATCGTCGCTCACATCACCCTCGGAGCTATTTGAATAGGGGGATGGTAAATGGGGCACCGGACCGACTCGTCTACGCAGCTCCTCCTGCTGCACTCGATTCGCTCGAACGTTCTCATCGTCGTCCTCACTGTGAGTCTCGACTTCTTTTCGTTCGGTCTGTAAGAAAAATGATAACGTAATTTATAGAAATTACACGCTATTAATAACATATAAATGAATAATATTAGAATTCACGTAATACGATAATTAATTTTTATAAAAAAAATTCATATATATACATATATCTGCAGATTTAGTACAAAAATTTATTTATTCATTTACTTTCAGAATCAGTAAGAAACTATAAAGACAGGCATTTACACGTAATCCCTAAATCCAAGACGCAACATTTCTATTGAATGTTTTTCAACAGATTTCCACATATGTTAATTAACCCATTGATCTCTGAGATGTTGCTAATTATATTAACTTTGCGGCAAGCACGCCTTAGCATACTCGCTTTTAAAATTGACGTATCAATGAATTCAAATAAGCTAAGGTGTTAAAAATGGGACGAATAAGTTAAGGTCATTTTTCATAATGAAAACAACTTATTTCTTTATTTAGATTCACAGCTGGACCAAACTGCAACGCTGTCTAATTAACTTAAAAATTAAAACTATAAACTGCAATCAGTGCTGTGACGCGCCCGCTGAAGAGTTAATAATTATACCAATGATATCACAAACGATAACAATTTGAAAAAAGAGGAATATCGTTCAAGAGAATCACGAGGAAAGTGCGCCCATTTATTTTTTCCTTAATACTTTGTGCGGCACCGTTGGCATCTCGGGACGCGTATCGCACATGACTCGGATGTCGGGACAGACGAGCGGCGTTCCTACGTAGGCACCAGAGGAATGTAGGTCTCACCTGACAACGATACCGCGGGGCTCTTCTCCTTCTAGGAACTCTGCTCGAGCCGCGAGTGGCATGCGTTGCGGTATGGCCGCACGGGGCGGCGTGCTTCAAATGGCAACAGGACGACGAATTGCCAGGCAACGTGGTCGGCGTTTGCGTGGCATTTAGGCAGGTGTTGCTGCGAGGCGGCGGTGCCTGACTGCTGCTGCTGGCTCGCTGATCCGGCGACACCGTCAGTTTGACCTTAATTGTCTTACTGCCGCACGGCGGCACTTGTATAGAAGCGCCTAGCGTATCGTAAATGGTGGTCACCAGACCGGCTATGTCGTCCTTCGTTATTTTCCCGTGGCCGTCGAAGTCGTACAGGGTGAAGGAGAACTCCTGCCGTCTCCTGTCACCTTCCGCCACCGACACATCGCACTCGAATTCCTGCCAACGAGAAATGATCGCGCTTAAACACTTGCACGCGGACGAAAAATTACTGTGGATGAGCAAGTCAATAAGTGAATCAATCTCATCGCTGTTATATGGTCGAGAATTTTATGGGAAATAATACTATAAAATTATTTATAATTTTGTAACTGAGAAACGTTCTGCCTTAATTTGTTATCCTTTCATTTCAAATGTATGTATTTTTTTAAACTGGAATATATTGTTAAAAATGTTCCCTAGCATGCCCTTTGCTACCTGTTTCTTGTTCTCTATCTTGTTCTGGCTTGAGGCACAAGGTTTGAGGCAGAAAGAGATAAAGAAACAGGAAGCAAAGAACACAATGTAGATGAAACTTAAACGATTACGCGACGTCGCGAGCTCGCTACGAATCGTTTCTCTACTTCCCACACCAAGGAATATAAATTAAAATATTTCACCTCGAAACTAAGCTGTTTCGTTGTACCGCAAGTAGGCTGTTCGTCATTACCGGTAGGTCCTGCAGATATGGTCGGACCATCAACCACGACCTGCGGCGGCGGCTCCGGAGAGATCAAAATCGGTTGCGACTCTGTCGGCGGCGGTGAAGAGATGTTGCAAGTAGTCGGGACACCCGTCAGCAACTCCTCGGAATCGCTGCCTTCCGTATTCGTTCCTACAACTGAACAATAATCGCTAAATTAATTTATACGGCGCATACTCGGTGTGACTATAGTTTCACTTCAATTAATATATTTCTCCTTCAGCAGCATTCGTTTGAATGTCAGCCGAGACTTAACTCTTTATCCTTCTTTGTCCTCCTTTGTCCTGCTTTTAGAATATAACTGAGGATTAACCCTTATGACCCGGGAAGCCACTATAGCGACGCGGTAGGGGTCTCATGTTTTCTATCAATTTACCTTTTGACACATACGAAAAGGTTCTTGTTCGAAGATCGTAAAATTTGTCGCTCAAAGGGTCGATTATTCTTGTAATAATCGACTATGATTGGTCAATTCTCACGGCTTACGAAACCTTTTGTAGACGAAGCTTATAGTCGTCACCTGAAACTTGTCTCATGTGAAATACTTGGATTTTTATTTAGAATTAGATCCAAGTTTTCTGATTGAATTATGACATAAGTGACATTGGCCGCGTTCAGCAGAGAAAGTTGTTTTGCAATTGTGTAAAATTGCAAATGATTGGTGTATGCTCTCATATTCAGCCAAGATCAAGAGCACACACCAATTAGATTTAGAGGAATTTCGCAACAGTTGCAAAACAGCATTCTCTGTTGAACGCAGTCTTTAAGTTAGATTCGGATGCGAAATCCAATGAGACCTCTTTTTCTAAAGAGAGGTCCAGTGTGCAACGAGCTTTAGGTTTAAAATTGCCAAAAGTGCAAGCAACGCGAACAAATCTATTGATATGTGTTTTCTTATCTTCTAAAATGATATATAACTAATAAAATGAGAAACGCACGATATTGCTATTCAACTGAAGAATTCTCACTTAATTAATTTTGCTATTCAACTGAAGAATTCTCACTTAATTCTAGAATCAAACTCGAGAGTTAAGTTAGACCTGAGTACCTCCCTTAAGACAAGTTTCAAGCAATAACTATTAATACGGACTGGAAACTGTCTGAGAAAGCCTTGCTCGGGTGCTCTCTGCGGATGCTGCTTCTAACTCTTCCATTGTTCCGCATTATTTCGCGGGAGGCAGAATGCCACATCGTGCATATATCGCGCGCATTAGACAGATTGAAAGCCATCCTCTGGCATCCTCCGCGAATCGACGCTAAAAGCCGAGATGCGTGCACGGTCATGCCGATCTCGTGCCGTGTCGGCGCGATTTGAGATCGGGAGGAAGCGTTCGTTATTTACGTTTCTCGCTCGCACCGGCTCGCGAACTTGTCCATCCTGTCGCTCCGACGCCGCATCGGTCGGCGTATTTAGACTTTTATAGCGGTCTCGGAGTATATCGACCATAAACGCGCGCGTGACGCCGAACGATTGGGCGCGGCGCGAGTTGAGCGCGATCGGGAAGCCGCTTTTGCTTCGCTCGCTCGCTCGACTCGCTTTCCCGTCCTTCCAGCGTGCGATCGCGATTTCTGGCTTCGAGCAGAAGAGAGAGGCAGAGGAGCGAATAAAAGGCGGCATTTAACACGCTCAGCGCGCGGCATCCGATCCGCACCGGTGCGCCGCCGTCGCCGCCGCCGCCGCCGCCGCCTGCTGTTGCTGCTGCCTGATGTTTGGTGCAGGCGGTATTTTTATGCTTCTCCAGCACGCCGACAGTCGCACGATGTGTGTTGTGCTCCACCCGAGGGGGAAAAACTGCCCGAGGGACTGGTAAGCGAACACGCCAAAAGACGCGGAGAGATTCCGTTCTCCACTTTAGAAATAATATGCGACAAAAGCTCTCTCTCAGAGGCTTCCTCCTAGAAAGCTCTCCCAGAGACTGTCCCAGGCGGAACGGAAAATCACAATGACGTTAAGATCACAAGAGTACAAGGGAACGCGCGTTCTCATCAAGATTCGCTCATTTTCTGTTGCCATTTCGACATAATCGTGATTTTCTGTTCCGACCAATCGAGTGTAACGCACGTGAACGTGCACCAAATGTTAGCGATCCGCTTCGCATTCCCTCCGGTGAAGCGCGGCTGAACCGATGTTGATAATTTATACTGATCTAATGATTTAAGTATATCTCAGTTTTATAATAATATAACGATAGTTACGGGACACATATTCTTACTTAACGTTATCGACGAATGTAAGTGTGCAGTAAAAACTGAACGTTTAGCATTCACATTTTGACTTTAATGTGGAAAAAGAGTCTGAGCCGGTTACAATTTCTCCAAATCGACGCAGACGTGTATCTCTCTCTCTTTCTTTTCGGCTTTATCGTAAATCTTGGAAAGTGGGGAATGCGGGTTGTGCTTTTATAGCCCTCACATGAAAGCCAAGCCGCATCTGCATATACGTTCCTTTTGGCTTCTTTTCTCTTTTATGCCGTGTGTTTACAATGTTCGAAGTATACGCTTATACTTTAAAGAAAAAGAGGGGGGAGAGAGGAGTCAAAGAAAAAGTGTACGAAGGGTAACTTCAAAGAGCGAGCGTATCGCTTGTTTACGTCGCATGCTATTACAGAATTTCCGATTTTCCTTCCTCCGAGAGATGCAAATAGATCAGGCACAATCGTAAATTCGAAGAATTCGCGTCCGTATGTGTTCCGTTCTCCTTTTTTTTTTCTCGGATTCGCCCGGCGGCATCTCGCCGCTCTGAACGCCATCTCGAATTTTATGTTCTGAATTGTGAGCTTCGGTTTTATCGTCAACCATTGTGTAATGGGTCATAAACTCGTCCCACCTAACGGGTACGACGCGGATGTACGATAGACATAGCTGTTAAACTCGGACGATACGCGAACGCGTGTGTAGCGCAAACTTACCTTCGACATTTGATATTCGCCTTACGCGAATACAACTACTACTACTACCGCTATTACCACTACAGCGAAAGCTAACAAACATCCGCTAACGCCGCTCTCGAAAGTTACAACTTCTCACGCGTATATACGCGCGGTTGGTGGCTTATATTATTATTCTAAAACTCGCATTCTTCGCTGTGCAATTAAGCTTGATCTACAATATGTTCTTTGCTTCCTGCTTCTTTCTCTTTATCTCTTTTTGACTCAAACCTTAAGCTTTAAGCTTGATCTATAATGTGTTATTTGCTTTCTGTTACTTTTTCTTTATCTCTTTCTGACTCAAGCCTTAAACCTTAAACTAAAAAAAAGACAGAAAACAAGAAACAGAAAGGAAAGAACACATTGTAGATCAGGCTTTAAGCCTGATCTACAATATACTCTTTGCTTCCTGCTTCTTTCTCTTTATCTCTTTCTGACTCAAACCTTACGCTTTAAGCCAGAAAAAAATAGAAGACAAGAAACAGAACGCAAAGAGCATATTGTAGATCAGGCTTTAGGTCTGCTCTTTTTAACCGCCTGAACTGGTGCAGACTAGTGCAATAAGTGAAATATACCTGTTTCACTTTAACTTATTGCACCAGTCTGCAGCAGTTCAACAAGTTAAAAGAACAGACGAAAAAGAACAGACTTATTTATACGTGTATGCATATACGTGTGTGCGCACATCAGAAATCAACTGTGTCGAGACTCGCGCATCAATTCGCGTGTTTCGAGATTTATAAGAGAAACATGAGGTCTGTTCGTTCTCAAAAAACCTCTGAACCAATGCACGATAGTACAATAAGTTGGAGCGAAAGAAAGTGCACTTTATTCACTCCAACTTATTGCACCAGTGCAGAAGTTCCTCGAAAACGAATGGATCCATGGTGTCACGTTCAACTGCGAAAGTGTGAGACAATTAGCGGCAGCTTGTGGCAACTTAAACTCAAATTTTACCGTTTGATCTCGAGATGAGTTTAATTCTCGCGAGGCGAGATTAGATATCGCGGCAATTAAGCGCGACTTTCCAGTAACTTTGTCTTCAGCAAACGCACGCACCGCAATTTCCGCGCTATTTTCAACGTTACGCGTGACAAGACAAGTGCGTAGGTGACTGTAGTTGCAGGCCGAAAGCCAAGAAAAGTGTAAGTATGACGCAACGCCACGTGGTATCCACTTCGATAATATCTTGGCATTGTATCCAACGCCGACGGTCATTTCTTTGTCGAGGAACCGTCGGACATATCTCTTTCTCCGAAGAGCCAACGACTTTTCCGGCTCGTTTAGGGTATATCAATGGTAAAACCAACAACGAAACGTTTGTTAGTATTAGCGGTAATTAACTGAATCATTAGAGTCATTCGCGACTTACTAATACGACTACTACTGCTCAATGAACGTGGGAATTCAAGTTCACATATCGCGTCTCCACTTTGTCATCAACAAGTTGACTCGAAAACAACCCAATAAACATCAACCGACAGCAAGAGTTATAATTTGTCCTAACTTGCTACTCGACAATATACAAATGAGATATAACATATGTTGTAAAGCGACGTTTACAATGAGAACTTAAGCCGTAAGACTTAAGCTTCAAACCGTAAAAAATCAACCAATTACAGTAAAAAATGAGGAAAATAATTGACTATAATTAGTCAATTTCTTAAAACTTAAGTCTTAAAGCTTAAGTTCTCATTGTAGACATTGCTTAAAGTGTCTACAATGCTTAGACACGTATTCAGTGCTGGACATTTTTATTATTACAGTCTTTAAATACGAATATCGAAATTTTCGACATCAAAAAATATATTTTTTCACGTTAAAAGTTTAAATATTCGTATTTAAATACCAAAACAATAGAAAACGGTCAGGATTAAGGACGTGTCCGGGAATTGATATTTCTACTTGCAACAGTCACATTACAAGAAAATACACATATTGTTTCATGTCGAAAGTTTAAATATTCGCATTTAAATACCAAAACAATAAGAATTCAGGATTAAGTACGTGCCCGGAAACTGGTATTTCTACTTCATCTTTATGCAGCACTGTTGAATGGGAAGTTACAACATTGATGTAATGTCCACTGTTAGTTGATGTTTACCTCTAATTGTAATAGACACCGCGCGACATTCTCGGTACTCGCGAGTCTCGACAGCGCGCACACGCGACGACGAGAGAGCGATCGCGCGTCAGGAGGGAAGGAAGCATTACCGGAAAAGGGCCTGTAGCCAGCGAGGAACCTTGCTCGCCACCACTTTACCAAGCCGGTAGCCATGGGACCTTCATGCGTGCGTACGTGCGATCTCGCCGTGAATTTTCTCTCCGATCTGTGATTCCCCAGCCTTCTCTCTGGAACCGGCGACTCCGGGATCGGTCGCTCGGTTGCACCTCCGCGCGTAAACGCCCACGCTCCGACGATCCTCTTCGATCGTCCCACGGACGATTTGTCACTCCACGGCGATCCGTAAACAATACCAGGCACAATCCCGCACTCGGAGTCGCTCCTCCTTATGCGCGCACCATTGAGATTCCGAGCGAGAGCGATCGTACGCCGCGCGTACACAAGCCGCCGCCGCCACCGTCACCGCCGTTGCCGCCGTCGCCGCCGCCGCCGCCGCCACGGCCAACGCACACTGTACACACGTGCTCGCGGCGGAGCCTGCCGAGTGAGAGTCCGGTGGAGCGCGACCGAACCGCCTACTGTCGGACAAACGGCCGGGCAGACGAGCGAGCACGACAGCCTCCTTCTTCCTCTGCTCCTACGGATGGATCTGTCCCTTTCACGACAGTCAGCGGCACGCTTCGCGAGACAGCTCGGCAGGTCGCATGGAAACGTCGTGGCACTGGGAAGCGAGGCATCAAGTCGATGGCCGAGGAGGAGAACACACGGTAGATGTGCACCGATGCGGTGGGGTCACGCACGTTTTTGTCACTCGCGCGGCAAGAGCAAGGGGGAGATGTGCACGGTCTCTCCTCGGTCCCTCTCGCAGGTATACGAACCGGCGCGCCACACACGCTCGTCCCGTGGTTCGACTACGACTACGGCCGCTCGTTCTCGCCTAAAAGCACGTTCCCCGTAATTCCCTGCCCACCGCGCGCCGTACTACACCACCACCACCACCACCACCACCGACGCTACCTCCACTACCATTACCACCACACGCGGTGTGCCGAGCAGCCGCTCCGGCTCGGCTTGTCGTTACCCAGTACTGAGCCGAGGGTACGCGGATCCCCGAAGGTAGGAGGCGCGACTCACCAACCTTTTCTCGTTCTCTCTGCTCCTCCGTCGTTCTCTCATTTTCTCTTTCTCTTTCACGTAGCCGTCCCCAGAGAGAGAGAGAGAGAGAGAGAGAGAGAGAGAGAGAGAAAGAGCGAGCGAAGCCTCTTCCTCCGAAAAACAACGTGCAAAGCCCGATTTGTACGGGCGAGGATCGTGAGTAACTGACTAGTCTCCGGTTATGATCGCAGATCCTGTATATAATGCGCAAGACATTATTAAAAATTTGACTTGCGAGATACGTTCCGTTTCGGCAATGAAAACATCGAGTGCGCTAAGTGCTAGTAGGTTAATGTAAGCGAGCATGCGCAGAACCGAGATTAATGTTAACTCGCGGCTCAAGTTTGTCAAATTTGTAAAGCAATTTTTTCGGCCACAGCGGCGTCCCTAGGGAGACAATGCTACCGCGCGGTAGCTTGGAGAATTATGCGGGTCGTGTAAAACGGGCTTAAAGCCGAGGGAAGGATTAGCTGCGCGCGGTTACTCCCGAGTTTTCATGCGGGAAGAGACACACAACGCCGACAATGCCTGGCACCGTCGATCTCGAACTGACACATTAACGCGAATTTCGACCCCGACGAGGGAGTCTCTACCGGGTGAGCGCGGACAGTTGCACAGCAACGGGTCACGCACATTCGTGTGCGTGTACACGCTAAGGTTACATTCCGACACATTCTTTTTGAAAAAAATGTTATTTGGAATATAATATTATGTAAAAGCATAAGTGTTACACACACACACACACACACACACACACATACACATCCATTTTATATAAATTCTTAAAAAAATGTTCCCGTAATATAATGAAACACAGTAACGGTACCTTATTTTACTTGTTTTAAATACTTTCTTGATATCATAATTGCCGCGTATGTGTAAGCTGCCTGTCACATCACATTGCTACGGATAGAAGATTAGATTTCGACGAACCAACGAACTTCGGTCTTGGCTTGCTTTATTCTAATTGGTCCAGTTCCAATCCGTAACACAATCTCCATCAGTCTATAGTCTAATACATAAATAATAGATTTTACCAAATTATACTATTATTATATTACCAAATTTGTCGAATTAAATTTTCAAACAGCACATATTAGTTGGCCAACGGTTGGCCGCTATAGATTCAATGTTGACCCAATGCATTGTGCTGCAATGGTTCGTTCTATAGCGGTTTGGTTTGATCATCGCGTGTTTGCGCGCTGAACGCTCGATAATCGTTCTTGTTTAATGCCCGTATCAGACTGTGGATTGAGGATTGCGATCGGACCGATCAAGTGAAGCAAAGGCAAAATATGAATCACCCGATTGGTCCGATTGTAATCCTCAATCCATGGTCCGATATGAGCGTAATGCTCATATCAGACTATGGATTAACGATTGCAATCGAGCTAATCCAATAATTTAACATGTTATTGGAAAAGTAAAATTTGATGAATTTTTTCCCAGATCACGAAATTTCCAGAGTATATCCTGAGAACGTTCTCAGAACGTCTTAGAATATCCTAAGGAGTGTTGTTTGAGTTTCTTCTTTTTTCTGGTTGTATTTTTATAATTTCTCAAAGCTCTTATAATCTCTCTTTCTCTCTCTCTTTCTCTCTCTCTCTCTCTCTCTCTCTCTCTCCACGATTCTGTGAAATATTGAGACTTGATAACAATTAAAAAAAAATTCTGAAGATATTACAAAGATCTAAGAGACGAAATTGAATGTGTAAGGTCTCTGAGACCCCATCTTCCCGACGACGGGTTAAATCTTTGTTCTGCTTTACTTGATTGATCTGATTACAATCTTTAATTCACATATGGATATAACGCGTATCTCCTGTCATCTCTGATATCGTCGTTTTACACTGAACAGACAAAACGACGACGTCGCGTTGCTGAGTGTTCGAAAGTTGCTGCTGCCGCGCCAACGGCACGTTTCTAAACTTTGATTTCGACAGTAAATTCCTTTGCTCGGTGTCAATGTCGATTCGTGTGATGCGCGCACGACAGATGAACAATATTATATGAAATTAGAGAGATATGCGCACACATGCACGCACCTTCCGTGACAATGACGTAAAATATAATACTGTTTGCCGGGGTCGAAATTGCTCCCGGATTATAGTAATCACCTGAATTTAACCGCGGTACTTAAGGGTTGATAACTCAACTAACCTCGATAGTCGATAGTTCCGATTCCCCGAGTATTCGTGCGATAAATAAAACGCCCGGCCGTTGCACTGGTAGACACGCACAAAATTACGGTGGAAATTTAATTCACGCGGGTGGGCGATCGTTATTTAGAAGAAATCTTGATTTTCGCCTTACTTCTTTCCGGAATCGATACCCTTGCCATTGAATCGCTTCGTATGGGTGTTTACGTCGACGGCACGCGTGTCATCGTTCGCAAACACGTGGTTCTGTTGTTTCGACGCCTCAATGAATCACGAGTCAGACAGCGGGAGGGGGACGTTAGAGGGGCGGGGCAGGGGGTGAATGGAGAGGGGGGAGGGAGGGAAGGTGAAGGGCGGCGAGAGGAGAAGCAAATTGCTGAAAAGTGCTCCGATTTCGCGTTCCTCCGACGAGATATTTTTCACTTTACGTTGATTCGGCCCGACGAAGCGCTGCGCAGTACTCGGAAGGTCGCGTGTCAAGTCGGAAATACTCTTTTTGGGGACTGTACCCGCGCGCTATTATCTCCTAGCGGTGTTTCAGAAGAAACATAGGCGTCACCGTCGCCGCGCGCATCGAGCCCACAGCTCCAGCTCCAAGAGGTAGAGCGCGATGCGTTACAGCCCTGGGACCCGCACCACCCTACCACCGTGGTGTGCTACTGTTAGCGTCACGCTCGATCGAAAATAAAAAGAAAAGAGAAACAATTAGCTCCGACAAAAACGACGAGCCTTTGTGCGTAATGTCCCGCGCGCGCGCTATGTGAATAGCGCGTAGCGCGAAATTCAATATTATGCATTGCGATACACTTCTATTGTTTCCACGCTGGCCTTTCTCCCCAGTCAATCTCTTTCCTCTGTTTTCTGATACGTGCGATCGCTAAATAATTCAAAACTGAAATACATCTCTCGAGAGTTCTCTCTCGCTATTTCGCGCGTTGAGCCAACGTGCCTCTCGGGCCGAATCTACTCTTCTCTGATGAATATTTAAATTTCCAGACAAAAAATTCGTCCCCTGAAATTCGCAAACGTCGGCAAAATAAGGTTTGCGAGGTTGTCGCATTTTCGATTCGAAGACCGATCGACCAGTGGACTCGCAGGCAACAACGAGGTCGAAGATGACGAAGATGAGGGGATGTGGCGCGTAACTCGCCGTTTGGAATTTTCTATTTCGGACTATGGGCCCTGGACGACGACGCCATTGAGCGACCGACCGGCCCGAAGCATCCCCCTCGCACTCCCTGAACAGAAAGGCTCTACCCATCATGCCGCGCTGTGCTGCGCTGTGTGTCGTGTTGCGCTGCGCTGCGCTCTGTTGCGCTGCGCTGTGCTCTGCTGCGCTGCGCTGCGCTGCGCTGCGCCGCGCCGCGCCGCGCCGCGCCGTGCGGTGCGGTGCCGCGTCGCGGTACGGTTTGCCGTGCCATCCTCAGCCGCGTAGCGTGGCTCTAGTTGTTTCTTTTCTTTATTCCTTTGTCGGAAAGTCGGCGGCAAATCTCGTTTTTAAGAGGCGGCGAAGGGGACGAAGGGGCAGGGAGAGAGGAGCGACGACGACGACGACGGGGAGAGGACAGAGGCAAAAGGGAAACGGCGGCCGGCCGGCCGGCAGGGGTTGCAAGGGGCTTCAGAGGAAAGGGGGTGCCGGCTCGGTGGTATACCAAGGAGGGAAGGGCGAGGGGGGCGACGGAGGAGAGCCCCGCGCGTTCGGCAGTATAAGGGGAATAAAACGTGCGGCTCAAAAACGCGCGGTACAGACTAGCCTCGAAATAACGTCGGCAGCTCTGTCTCCCTCTCCCTCCGCCCTTCCTTCCTCCCATCCTCTCGCTATCTCTGTTCGTGAAATCGAGTCATCTATTAATAATAAACTATTTCCAGATGCGCATCTTGCCACTGGCGAGAACTCAATCGCTGCTCTCTTTCTCTCTCGCCTGGTTCTCCGCCGTGAGCGTTAGGCGCGATCGCGCCGATAGTCACCTGCGCATCGCCTAGATCTCGACTCGTCGGCAGTCTCGTAAACAGGTATTGAGATTGATTGTAATGCCGGCGCTCTCTCTTTCTCTGCACCTCCAAGGTGATCGATGCGTTTCCGTCGTTGCGAGCAAACGTACAAGCGTTGACAAGAAAAAAAAAATCCAACTCCAGAATGAGAAGGCGGCGCAGCAGCATATCGCGAGGTCAACGCGTGGCTGATTGAATGCTCCCGAGAACAAACCGGCGTTCACCTGCGCGCGTGAATGCGCCGAACATGCGGCCGATCGGCTCTCGAGCGTCGATTGATTAGACAGTAACAGCATTAAAAGCGCGAAGCAAATATTTATCGTGAGAGAGAAGAGGAAGAGAAAGACGCGACGGCCGCGAAGAGACGGCGCAGGGAATAGAGGACCGTGTCGCGCGGTCTCGTACAGCCGCCGCGAGGTGCATGGAGGCCTCCGACGAGGCGCAGGACAGGATACGGAGAAGGCTATAATACGGTTTTGCCGCGAGCGCAGCAAGAGCGACTACGAGCCCGTCGACCGGCTGGCGTCGATCGGTTTTGCTGGACTGCTCTCGACGCGGCTTGCCGGACGATACCGACGAGAAGGAAGACGGAGAGCGAGAAAGAGAAAGAGAATGAGCGAAACGACGTCGGAGAGACCGGGGCGGAGGAACGAACGGTAGAGCCACGGTCGGGTTACGGCGCGGGGGAAAGGAAGAAGCGGTCGGTGCGTTTGATCTCGGCCGCGGGCGCCGACAAAGCGTTCGTCCACTCTCCACTACAACAGCGAGCGGTCCCGCGGGCGCGCGAGCGAGAGCGGCGACCGCGCGTTCGCCCGATAATGAGAGGGAGAGAGGGAGAACGAGAGAGCGGCCGAGCGCGCGTGGGAGCGACGAGGACACGGAGCGGAAAGAAGAGAGAAAGCGCGACGACGAGCGAACGGCGCGGTAGAAGGGCCGCGTGGAGAATGAGAAGGGCGAAGGGATCGAGGAAGATGGGAGAAGTGCAGGCTCGAGTGGAAAAGAGAGAAATAGAGGTAGAGAGAGAGAGAGAGAGAGAGAGAGAGAGAGAGAGAGAGAGAGAGGAGACGGAAAGAAGAGAGACAGCGAGCTGTTATCCCGCCGGCAGAGCGGCAGAAGGCGCAGCGGGGTGAGCGGGGAGACACGAAGAGATCCGTTCCACGATTCATCGTGCTGTTGCGCTCGCTCTAGCATGGCGCTCCGCCACTCCCTCGTGCCGGCGGTACATACACACACTATCGGGTTTGCTATTAATAAATAATGCTCTGTGGTCCGCATTACAACTAAAATTCCTACCCACCTACCTACCTACCTATCTACCTACCTACCTACCACCTCCGTCCTCGCCGCGGACGTATTCTCGATTTCGAACACGACCGCTCGTGAACTCCGCCTCTTTCTCTCTCGCTCTCTTTCTCTCTCGCGCACGCGCACTTCTATGTGCGTCTGTCTGTTTGCTGCCTGTCCCTGGTCTTGTGACGGACATGCGGTCCGTCACAACGCGTAGGGACGCTTTAAGCCTGATCTACAATATGCTCTTTGCTTCCTGCTTCTTTCTCTATCTCTTTTTGACTCAACCTTAAGCTTTAAGCCAGAAAAAGATAGAAGACAAGAAACGGAACGCAAAGAGCATATTGTAGATCAGGCTTTAATGTCCCTGGTCTCTTCATATGTAACGCGTATGTAATGTGCATTTTGTGGGATTGCTGATCGAAAGAGAAACGCGTTAATTATTCTCTATCGAGAAAAAGTTGAAGAGAGACTGTGTGTGTGTGTGTGTGTGTGTGCGCGCATAAGAAGCAATAATCTGCTATTTGATGCGAATTATCTCACAATATTACTTGCGTTTATAATATAATTATAATGAAATTCTTTGACCACACACACATTTGGTTATACTTAACGACCGATAGATCAAATCAAAGTTATTGTGTATTAATTACGCTAATGCTCGAATACTTAAATCATTTGTTCTCTTCGCGTCGATCGCATCGATACGGATGCGTAAATTTCGTAGTTAATCGTCTCGTTTTATACTGCCCGAGGGGATTGGAATTTCATTGTATATTTGCGCGCGCGAATAACTGAATTATAAAGATCCCCCCGGCCCACGATCGCCGGTTGACCCGATGATAGCCGTTCCAATAACGTGTGTGACACATAAATGATAAGAGGGCCTTTGAAGTGTCCCCGCTTTCCCGCCCAATAAACTCACAAAAGCAGCCGCCGCGCATTATAAATTACGCCGTTCATTAGGAAGGCAATAGTCGCGCACGCGGTAATAAGAGGCATTAAAGTCTAAAAGCCCGTGTATTGCGGCGCGTGTGTGTATCGAAATAAAACAAAAAGGAAGACAACAAAGGCAGAGAGAGGGGAAAATAAGAAAAAAGTAAATAATGCAAAAGTGGGAAAAAATATCGAATGAATGCGGACGTCTCTCGACGGCTTCCTCGAACGCCCGAAGTAATCAGAACCGGCGATAGAGGTTTACGATAGAGCGACGAAAAATTCGAGGAGACGATAGAGAGACACAGTACTTAAGCGATCGCGCTTCTGGACAAAAGTGTTTTCGTTCATTGAAGACCTTGTGTTCGTTTTACTTGAAGCGCGCAACACGACCATGGCTGATTGGGCCGCTGCCTAAAGTTAAATAAGAAAAATAGAACGGCGCCGCGCGTGAAGCAGGAAAAATTAATAAATATGGTCTGAAAATCGGCGGAAACGACAGCGTTAATATAATGATAAAATTCATAAAACGTTCTAATATAGATGGGTGATTTTCCCCACGCATTTTCTAGGATAGATACACAGTACACACATAGCGTGTTATACGTAACGTGCATTGACGTGACGGGTGAATAAATCCAGATGAATCTACAAAATTTGAAAAAATTAATATTTTTTGTAGCAAACATACAGCTCGTTTTACGTTCAGTTTCGGTATTGTGCGAATTCAATTTCCAAGAACTGATGCATACTGACGTTGTATTTAGAATCTTTTCTTTCTCTCACACGCGAAATTCTGCCGAATGCAACAGAAATTGTCCATCCATATTCTCGTAAAATCTCTTCTAGGAAAGGTTATACTGAATACTAATACGACTAGAAATTCTCTGTGTCAATTCTCTGTCAAAGAGTGCCGTCTGTGATACGTGACCGGTTCTGATGTTACGGTAATTCGTTCTGGTGGTTCCATCTAACTAGTGGCATTATAACTTGGTTTACCTGCGCATACCGGCACGCAATAATAAATGACCGCGTAGACGATCGAAGACGACCACTAAAAAAAAACAACGAAATTATATCTATTATAATAAATAATTATAAAATAATTATATAATAATTAATTGTAATTAATAATTATCGATTAGATAATAATGAATAAAACTATGTTACTATGTGTGTTTGCGAAGCAGCTAAGAATTTACTCTGCTTGCTTCGAATTTATATATCTTTTTTTATATTTAATTTTCTTGTTTATATATATATATATATATATATATATATATATATATATAT